CTAGAGTCCCTACTTCTCGTCTATCTCATGGGTCACTTTTTTTCAATAGCTGAATCTCCATCAGTATCCACCATAACAACCTTGCCAAACGGCACAGTAGATAAACATGGCCCATCATTCAATCTCGATTGGATTCTCTTCTGATCTCAGAAAATTACAACAGAAAAGTGGGAACCGGGCCCCGCGGGATCCTGTGGGGTATAAAGTTGTTCGTGGCAGACTTTCGAAACAAGGAAGAAGCCCCATGGAAACTGAACGAGAGCGGCACCAGCGTCTCACATGCGACGGAGCAAGACAGTCAACAGGGGGTGGGGATGAAGCTTTGAAGGTATTTGCGGCAGGGAATACTTAGCATGTACTGTACATCTGTACATAGTACATACTAAGCACGATTCGATTATATTAATGTCCTACTAACTACACTGATAGACTCCCAATTGACATAATTGACATAATTGACATAATTGACATAATTGACATAATTGACATAATTGACATAATTGACATAATTGACATAATTGACATAATTGACATAATTGACATAATTGACATTAGGTCGAGGTGTTGAAGACTCGTAGTCTGCGTCAAAGAAATAAGCACTATACCTGGGTTACGCTCGCATTGTTCGTTGGGTACATGATGTGGTGACGGTGGTCGGACAACCACACTCAACACGGTCTGGCGGGACTATGGTCTAACAAGCGTAAACAATACTAAGATAGTAAGCACGTACAGTAGTCGCCATGAGACCATCCCACTCCACGCGTGTCACGCGGCAAGGATGCATCTACATTTAGCTCTGCACGGACGCAGTCTGATCGGGCGCAAATGCTTGATGGGTCTTCCGCGTCGCCGGCCTCCTATATCCAGGTGATGTCGGTTGTTTGCCACGGGAGCGTCGGGGGAATGGACGGGCTTGGATCGGGGCGCATTATTGTATTTTGAAATGCCTGGGTACGAGCCAAAGGGGGCCGAGAAAGATATGGGAAAGGGGATGGATAAGGGGAAGGGAGGCAGGCGGAAGCTGAGCTGATAGGATGTCGGATTCGCTGGATGTTGATGAGTCTGGGTTCAATTGATGGCAGTGTGGGTACGTGGTATCATTTCAGTCACCGTTGTGGTGCTTGTAAGCTCACGATACTAGCATCACTTATTCGGCTGATTCCAATCCGTGCAATCCCATGAGATGGCTGGGCTTGGAACTGACTGATCTCCCATCAGCGTGTCACTTTTCAAAATCCAATGTGAATCCAATCATCCTGATTGCCGTATCAAATCATCAAACTTGAAGTAAGCTCATTTCCTAGCGTGTGTGCAGATATAAAAGACTGTCATCACAAGGCTTGTCCCGATTGCATTATTTTGATATGAACGCAAGGCCTGGTTGTCCACATCGCACAGGTGACTTGTGTCCGTATCATGCGTTCGTAATGGCAAAGTCCCCCTCCTAATGTAAAGATTGCTAAAGCGCATCTCATTCATCAGTCTTGTCTACTACCTCCCTCAATGGCGCTTCCTAACCTTGAGATTGACTAACCTCGATGGCTCCGCCAGATTGGAACGGATACACTGCTCCCTGAAGGCTCTCTTACCGTAACCTAAGGCGAGCAATCTACAAGACCGTTTGAGGTTCGGACGATACATTCTATCAGACCCCCTGAACTATATAACACTTCTAATGAGATTCAGACGATGCTCATGGAAGGCTGCATCTGCAATGCTCGGATTTGTGTTCATCTCATACCTTGCCTCTCAAGTTCTACTTGGATTTTGGAGTAAAACACTGCATCAACTGCGCCAAATTACCAAAATTCGACCGGAAACTTGTTTCATCAAACCAAGACGCATTTTCTCCTTCTATAGCGAAGTCATGAGCCACCGACTCTGATGATAGCTATATGGCCTTCTAGCCAGATATTTGTTCCCGACTCCCACTGTGGACATTGCGATTAAAAGTGCAACCCTGCGTGAGACGGAAGTAGACCCGTGGACTTGAAAATGATCACAAGTCAAGCAAGCTTCAGGAACCAAGACTTTGACCGAGGATGTCTTCCTCGAAGATGGATACATTTCATAAGAACAGATGTATAGGAGCAAGTGGGCTCTTTTTTCGAAACGAAAATTTGAAAATACATATTCTCGGTTACGCAATGCTTCCAGCTCTGAGAAGTTTACCCCGAGGTTGCACTTGAGATGGATGGCTCATGTCCAAACTCCCAAGAGCAATTGAGTTTAGACATATGCAGGTGGCTGTCAAGTCATTTCTTATTGCTCATTGTCGGGAAAAGCAAACCTAATTCTCCCCGTCAGCATGCAACATGACATTCAAAGCGCCAAGCAATTGCGCAACGCCTCGAAGCCCGTGCCGAGCCGATTTGCACGTGGATATGCACCTCGAACCACCAGTCCCAGAGCTGATGACGAACGTGTTGAATGTAAGAGCCATACAGATAGCCGAGCTTTCCGACCTCACCGTCTTCATCTTAATTCGATGACTACAGGCTTTCATGTGGCTGACTCTGCCCGACGTGCGCACGCGTCTTGTACCACAATAGGCCTGGGATACTACCGAACATGCTCGGTGCTCAATGCAACGAGAGGGCCACGGTTGGCATTGGCAAAGGTAAAAGGCCATCCTTGTAAGCTGTAGCCTCCCGTTGCTCGCTTACCACATGCAGTACAACCTTGAGCTATGGACTCCTTCAAAAAATGTAAGCAAGCCCTCTTCGAGTCTTCGACAGACCACTTACCAAAAACAGAAGGCGGGAAAGTACTGGAAATACTACTACTCCCGGACAATCTGACAGACTGACGCAGCCAAGCCCTAACACGCCCCGTGGCCACTGTCCAAGCGCAGGAAAATTCTTCCAAGTCATCGTGAGAGCGCCGATAACGGCTCAGCCGCTGCGAGCTGATGGCGAGGTGACGCATAGTGGGATTTGAGAGACCGTGATTAGCCCATAGACCCGACTGATGACTCCCGTGGGTGTCTCCGGCGGTACTCGACAATCAGCGTACTCAGTACTGTAAGCATCTTGAACACCTGTGGGCTGGAACGGGCATTTCTGGACTTGGAGTCGGGCGCTTTCACGGGTCGCTCGCTTACTCGCGTTCTAGTGTGACTGTGATGGAACAGACATAGGCTTATGAGCTATGGAGGTAGGCACTGAGGCATTCTCCAGATCATTCGGGCCCGAGATGGAAAAAGCGCCCCCAAAGGTGGCCACTTTCAAGGAGTTGCATTGTATAATCCTTCAAGCTTCAAGAAACCTGAGCAGAGCGCAGAATCCGAATCTCGCAATTTGTTCTTGCATTGCATCGTATTGTTTATCATTGCTTTGCAGGCGACTCGTTAAGACCACCGATAATCCTGCTTCCTTCCCTCAAGAAGGACACAGTCCAGGATTGGTCATGATTCTCAACCCCCATTGATCCCTTCTCTGCAGTCCTCTCTACTTCAAGCTCACTTTCAGTTCCGACAGCTCTCGCTTCCCTCCCGTCCTCCGACCTTCCACCACATTCTAGCCTGACATTCCCTGCGCAATATGCTGATGTGCTCGAGCCTCACCCCAAGTCGCAGGTACCGCCCCAGCCCATGCAACCCAAGCAACCCAGCTAGACTAGCTAAAGACACTTCCACACTAAACACTACCAGACTAGATCCCCAGCCTTCTCATCCAAACAGCGCCAGGCAATCCATCATCCATCGAACCCATCCGCCAGGGGTCGGAAATTAAACGACTCCCGAATCGGACACGCCTGGGGGGTCTTGGCTCTGATGCGGCTGTGTTTCTAGCTTGCCACGGTGCAATGCTGAATGGTCTGCAGGTCCAGGCCCTCGAGGCCTTCTTTGCTTTTCATGCCACAAGAGTGAGGGGCCGAGGTGATAGTCACAAGCTGCTGGGATCATGGAAAGTTCGAGGCGAGGGTGGATTGTCCTGGGAAGCGATTGACTGTTTCTATGGCTGACGGCGGGCTACAGGCTGGTGCATTCTTCCGTGTCTGCTTCTCGCTTGAGGACAAGCTGGTTGCATTGCGAGGTCTGTGCTGTCAAGTGGACTATATCTTGAGGGTGAAAAAGGGTCTGGTAGGATGGGACTGCTACGGCAGTGAGTGAGTGGAGGTAGAACACCGATAGGGACCTCGGGTGTTGAGTGTCGACAATGCGATGGTTTTCGAAATACTTGCCACGAAATTGAAATTGAAATTGAAACTGAAAGTGGTCATTGCATCCGAGCTGCATTCACCTTCTGTGAATGCACGTCCCGCGGGCTATCGATGCAAAGCCAATAAAAGCCCGGTAAATAATGGAAGTTGTCAACAAGACAAGCACCGGTATTGCCCAAGGAGACTCGCGATCAGTAAATCTTCGATTTTTATGATACTTAGCCAGATATGCGGTCTTCACGTACACAGTATGTTGAGAATGTGGTCACGTACAATAGGTAGTAATTACTAAGTACACCTCATATTATCACCATGTCAACGATCAACATACACATCGCCTAATCTCGGCTCCTGTTGGCAGTCTTCCACCGATGGTTCCCTCGCGCAGGAGCAAAGTACACCATAGCAACGCGACGCCCAACAGGCCGCCAAATCAGCGTCGTGGCAAAAAAGTCAGAATCTGTGTTTCGGGAGTAGCACTAGGGAGTTGAAATAATACAGTAGAAAGAGGAAGCAACTCAGATAAGGACGTTCATTGTGGCATGCAGGGGGGAAGAGAGTAACGAAGATCCCGAATGCTTGGGAAAGATCAAATAGTTGTCCTGTGTCAAACGCCCATAAATATGTAAAAAGAACACCAGTAGAATTGAAAAAAAACACCCGCCATAGAAGACGGTGATTCAGAGTATGCGACAAGGTATCGGAATGTAAGCAGAACAGAGGGCGTCCGGAGCACTGTCGTCGTGAGTAGACTCTGTCCGTCATGGACACTACACAGTGGCAACCGTCCACTGGGGGCGCAAAAAGGTACGTTGAATCGCACATCTTCGTCCTTACTCGTCTTGCATGGTCGTATCGCCAAAGAGCTCATCGTCATCTCCCTCACCAGCAGCTGGAGAAGCAACAGAAATGCCATTCGCAGGGGAGGCGACCTGTGCGGTATCGCCTCCTGCCTCCTGCTCATCCTCTTCGTCTTCATCATCCTCAATTCGAAGAGCGGCCTTGCCTCGTCGACGTGGAGCCGCATTGTCTTGCTGCTCTTCATCGTTGTTCTCTTCATTGTCATCATCCTCAAACAGTCCCGCGACGTCATCGTCATCGTTGTTCGCAGGCGAACCCGATCCTCCTCGGGCTTCATCTCCTGCACCTTCTTCGTCCGAGTCATCCGAGTCAACAACCATCTCGGAACTCTTGTACTTGCTATTGGCTTTCGCCGTCGCCGCGCTACGTCGTTCCAACCGACGCTTCTTCTTGGGCGCCGCGTCCCCTTCACTTCGACCACCGGCATCGCTATCGTCGCGACCACCGAGATCCTCATCATCAGCAGCCACAAAGTCATCCTTCTTCTTGCGCTTGCTGCTCTTCTTCTTGCGCTTGACTCGTTCACCATCGCTGCCCTCGGTCAGTTCGGCCTCTTCGCGGGCACGTTCACGCTCAGCGCGCTCCACAGCATGACGTTGAAGCTCCTCAATCATCTGGGCGCGTTCAGCAGCAAGCTTGCGTTTGCGCTCAGCTTCAATTTCTTGCGCTTGACGCACTTGTTCCTCACGGGCGGCAATGGCCTTAGCTCGAGCTTCACGGGCTTCGCGCAACTTGGTGGCGTTCTTCTCTTCGTACTCCTTCTGGCTTTGAAGGGCACGCTCCAATTGCTTCGCAATGGTACGACCCATGTTGGCACGTTGCTCGAGAGCACTGGCTGGGTAAGGGGGATGCTTCTCCTTGGAGAGGCGATCGAAGGTCTCAATGGCCTCTTTGAGACCTTCGGCGGCTTCTTCGACATCTTGAACCGACTTTTGATGCGGTTGGAGAGTGTATGAAAGTTGAGCAATTTGGTTCTGTACGTAGGCGACATTGAATTGGCAGTGTGGAGCCTCCGGAGACACAGCGCGTGCGCGTTGGGCATAGTCCAGTGCCGTCTTCATGGCTTGGAGACTGGTTTCGTGCTTAGCTTTGAGCTGCCAGACACGACCGAGACAGGCGAGGATCTGGACATCGCGGGCGCGGTCTTTGTTGAGGGCAGCTTCATAATGCTCGATTGAGCGGGAGTACTGGCGTAACTCGGCGTAGACGTGACCCAGGTTGAGGTAGACACTGGGATCCTGAACCGTATCGCGGACTCGGGTGAGAATTTGCAATGCATTACTGTGATCTTTCTTGTCGTCGATCAAGGCGATGGCAATACCCTGAGCTGCGTAAGCGTTCTGGGGATCCAGCTGCAACGCCTTGTCGAAGAACTCCACTGCACGTTGATACATTTTACGACGCTTTTCTTTGTCCTGCTCGGTATCGCGGCGCATGTCTCGAGCCACTTGCAGATGAACATTGCCCATTCCAGTCAGCGCATAGCAGTCGTGCTTGTCATGATATTGCAGCGTGTGCTTGTAGTGGCGCTGCTCAGCATCTTCGTTGACATTGGACGTTCGCTTCTTCGACCTGCTAAGATACCAACCGAAGAGGGCTCGAACTTCCAAATTCGTCGACTCGGTCTCGTAAAGCTTAGCAATCCTCTTGGGGCCCTCGTCAGTAGGGTCGTGACACAAAGCAATGTAAGTCAGACGGGCATTGGCTTCGGTGTATCCACTGTGACGCTCGAGGACGCCCTCGTAGACCTTCTTAGCCTCGTCTCTCATGTCAGCTGCCTCGTACGTTCGGCCAAGATTGTAGCTGATTGTTGTCAGGAGAGCGTCGTGGTCGGCCCCGTTATCCTGCTCGGATGATTTCACGCAAGCGTTTAAAGCCGCCTGAAACATGCCACGCGCCAAGGCAATCTTTTCGCCCAGATACAAAAAGCATCCCATGTTGTTGAGAAGCTGCGGCGGCAAAAACTCCCGCAGAGCGGCCTTGAGCTGCTCAGCATCCTCACCCTCCGGTCGCTCGTCATCGGGAATGACCGAAAGCTGGAGTTCTTCCAGCTGCGCCAGGCACTGCATGCTCTTCTCGGGCGCCGAGCTTTCGTAAAGTCGAGCGAGATAGACCAGGACGGATTCTTCCCGAGTGAGCACCTGCTTCTCGTCCTTCCACATGGACCGCACAGCCTCAAACATCGTAATGGCGCGCTGGCGCTCAGCAGATTTGTCTTCCTTGCTGCCAGCAGCGAAAACTTCCTCTGCAAGAAGAGCACCCAGTAAGGTCATCGTCTCGGCGGTCTTGGCGGACTGCACAATCTTCTCCAGCCGGAACTTGGCACCTTCAAGATCATTGTTAGTGATCTGCATCTGAATAGCGCCAAATTTAGCCGGAAGATAGCCATGATCGCCACCACCACGAGCCTGATCAGACCGGTTGTAGTACTCCGTCGCGCGAGCCACATCTCCCTCATGGTGAGACTTGCGAGCAAGCAAGTACCATCCATCACTGGCGATTGGCATGACGTCTGTTTTTTCAATGGCTCTGCGAGCCAGAGTCTCAACGGACGGATAAGCCTGATTGACGAGAAGATAGTCACCGAGCAGGGTGCATGTCATGGGATACTCCTTGTCCAATTTGAACGCTTTCTGCGCGTACTTGGCCGCGGCCGCTCTGTACACAGCCCCAAACTTTGGGTCCAACAGACTCTGACGCGCAGTCACGCGGAAATGGTAAACTGCCAGAAGGACGTTCGCGGCTTTTGAATTGGGGTTCTATCAGATTCGGCAACAGTGGTTAGCAAGGATCTTTGAGGATTAAAGACTGATTTGAGGACGGTCTTGACGTACCAGAGACAGAGCACGCTCCCACGCAGCTTTGGCCTGCTCTTGAAAGTTCAGCTGCCACAAGCAGCATCCCAGACCAATTCTGGGATCTGGATCCGTCAGATTTGGCATCATCTTCAAGACCTGCTGGTAAGCGACCAAAGCATCTTGGTACCGTCCCAGCATGTACAGTGCACGCGCACGGCCCATAATTGCCATGACATTGCGACCACCGAATGCCTTGGATGATTCCTCAAAACATTTCAGAGCCTGACGCAACGTTTCGACACGATCCGAGTTATCAATTGTGCCGGGGCGCGCAGAACGGGGTGGGTGTAATGAGGCGCGCAGAAGACAGAGAACACCTCGGGCCAAGAACAGTGGGGGATACGCTGGGTTCAGGCGCGAAGCCTCATTCAAGGTCGACGTAGCCTGTTGCAGGTAGTAATCCTTCGTCTTGGCCTCAGTGTACAGCTCGCCTTCAGGAGCCACCCGTGGCGCCTGGCGACTCTTCAGCATCAGCAACCAGCAGATCCAGCCGAGCAAGCCAAGCTTCTCCTTTGTGGCGCCATGAGCGACGGAAGCGAGACCCTTTTGTAAGATGTCGAGGGCATGGTCGAGTTGTCTTCGTTTGGCGTAGGCCAGGGCAATGATGACCCAGAAATTCTTTGCGGCGCGTTCGTTCTCAAGTAGTGTACACAGTTCAGTGGGATCCTCTGGTAGATCTAGAAGGCTGACTTCGACTTCGCTGTCGAAGCTCGAAGCTGGGATGTCGATAGCATCAGGAATGTCGGAGAAGCGAGCGGCCGAGGTCGTCGCTATGTCGCCATTAGTGCCATTGGTGCGGCCATTCTGGAGAGGCGCCATAATTTTCGAATAATAGCAAGTGAGTGAGTGAAGTAGGAGAGGGATAGTGAGAGGGGGAGAAATTGGAGGGAAAGAAAACTGGCGAGTAAGGTTGTCGGCGTCGGTGGTCTCGCCTTTTCAAGGATGCGGAAATGCAATGAAGAGGGTTAGAGAGTGATGTGGGAGGGGTTTGCCTGCTGGATCATTGTAAACAAATACGCCGTCCAGGATAATTCGATTGGGTCGAGAGATGGCGTTTTGCGCCAGTGCACTGGTTGCCTGTCGTGCAAGTTGTCAATGTCAACGCGCAGTTTATCGGAGGAGCTTATTCCCAAGGCACAAGTCACGTGGTTTTCTTTCGGGGAACAATCCTATGCAGCAAACAAAGGCACGTTTAGTAATCGTGTGACGGCCTGTAAGAAAAGCCAAATACTAGAGCAGATGCACTCATTAGCGAAGACTTACAGCGATTCTTTCAATGTTGTTTTATGTAATATTGAATAATATTTGACGCTGCAGCATATATCGTCGCATGCGCAGCGCAATTGAAGCTAAGTACTAGGTAATAGGTATAGAAAAGCTGCATTATGTCATTCCACTTGCGGACCGCTCCCCGTCTCGCTGGGGACGATGCCCATGCCACGCTCGTGTTAGGCTATAGAGGCAAATTGTAGCCTAGTTCTTCCAGCCGCCATCGTTCTATCATGTGTGTCATCAACAAACATTCGTAGTAGGAAATGGGGATTTTCCGCTTCGTCAAACTTGATCCAGTTCACATGAACATTCACGTAAACATAAATCGGCACAAAATGGCCAACCCTAGGAGAACCGCGAAAATCTGGATAATCTCTGTCCAGTGATGCAGTCGAACGTAAGACTCGACATAGCCGGTGGATGCAGCTACTTTTTGCGTCTCAGTCGCGCTCTTCGCTTCGATGGAACCCGCCAGTGCAGATGGGAATCGTCCGGTCTCGAAATATTGATTCATCAATTCGTCCTTTTCCGCCCATCGGGCGCGCAGCCATTCATCAAACCTTTTTTGGTCGTCAAGAGGGATATCGGCGACCGCAAAGCGTCTCCAGTGCATGTTCACGGACGTAGGAGCTCGTCCGCGGACGTAAGTAGACCGAAGGGTGAAGTATTTGTCGGGGTAGCTTCCCTTTCTGTATGTGTAAACCGGTGTTCATGTCAGCCATTCAAAGTCATCCAAGGTGCATCCCCTATTCAAGTTCGCCGAAGTCAGTGAACGTACGCTGGGCCTTCATAGGCAATTGTGCTATCGTAAACGTAGTCCACAGTTCCACGCAGCTGCTGCAGACAGAAGAACAATCCCGTCGAGCGAGGCAAGACCAGATGCTTTGTAAGGGGATAGCCTTGTTTACGGCCAAATTCGTCACTACGTCGCTTGGTGTTCAGGGACAGATTTGTTCCTTCTGGAAATATCAACAGCCACATCGGGTCAAACGAGGATTTGGTGGACTTCGAGCCAGAGAGCCGCGTCTTGAGCTTCTCCAGACGGTGTTGTAGACGAGGCTTATCGGACTCCCATTTGCGCGCCATGAAGATGAATCCATAGAACATCATACCCTGACCAACAATGGGGATGTGCTTGAGAGATTCCTTCAAGATGATGTAGATACGGCCATGCATGACATTGGTATAAGCAATCCACCACAGATAGATCCAGTCAGTATAGACCTGATGATTTGCGATCAGGACCAGACGCTCTGGAAACTGGGTCTGAAGCATCCCATCGGCTGACAGGTGGACCTGTCCCCGTACGCTCTCATCTCCGCTGACTCGGAACAATGTGGGACATCCGTATTGCGTCAATGCAGTTATGACGAGGCCAAAATTCTGCTTCGTGTAGGCCATATACGTATAGAACCATTCCTTCTTGACCAGGTATAAGGGTGCTCCAAGGAGCTGAGTCACGAAGATCACGACGCAGCAGCAGTTGAACCAGGCGGCCATTGCCAGGGTACGAGCAATCTGCATCGGAAAGCCATGTTTGAGGCGCGGCTCAGTCAAATTCATTGTCGATAGTTGCTGAGGTTCCATCGCATCCTGGCGGGGCACCGGCTTGCGCTGGCGGGTCTCGACTGTATTCATGACCGGATGAAGATGGCAGCGCGGGTGTTGTCACTGCTGGTATCGTGCTCGTGGGAGGAAGATGGTCTTCGAACTGGGTATTGAGGACAGTCAGTCTGGCTGTCAGCAGCTGGTGGAGAGCTAGGGAGCAACTCCACTGAGTCGCCAAAGGTTGTACACAACCACAACGTGTTGATTTGCGTCGGTGGTGGGCTGGGCGGGATGCGGCGGATGGGTCGGCGGAGCGGGCGGTGACACACTTCATGTGATCATCCGCGGTGATGATACAATCGTCTATCGTAGCGTCCAGTCAAGGATTACAGAATATTCGTCAAGGTGAGTTATGCTGTGTGTCGGAGGCGCCTGGCCGTTTGTCCTTATGTCTTCTCCACGAGTGTTGGGACCGTCGGGTCATCTGATTGGGACAAGCTGGGCTCAATCGTCGACCTCGTGCATGATGATGTTGATCGTCGCCAGAAAGCCCAGACAGAACGTCAGTGTGGAAAGCTCCCAGTGGGGCTTTGGGGCACGCGCCTCAACTGTGCCCGTCCGCGATTCAGCCGCATGATGCAGTTCTGTAAGTGGCACAGCACTGCGGGCCTCGCAGTGCCAGCCAGAGCGACCTGTTGGGCCGCATCCGAGGTAGAACACGGCGACAACTTGGGCTTTCCGTACCCAACAATCTATTCGAATATGTTCCCAATAGAAGGGAGACCATCGTTCCCAGGTCCATTTGAAAATGTGCCATCCTTCAAGAAGGGCGGTAATTAAGTCTAGCCTGGAGATCGGCCACTGCCGAATGAGCCTCTGGCGCCCGATCGTGGCATCGCCTTAGCTCCATTACTAGCTTCTTCCATTCCGTGGTCCCCAACGCTCGGGTGCGCTTAATCTCCCTCGCTTTGGGCGCTTGTATAGTTGTACCTGTGTACCTATACTAATCGATGTCTCACCATGAAAATGACCGATCACCCATGTGCAACAAGAAGCGAGTTTCATCTACGCATAAGCACGAGATAGCACCCTTGCACCTGACAAAACCATCTTCCGTGAGGCTGATGGCTATGGCTACGCACGTTCAAGGCAAGTTGTGACGGTCTGAGCGTCCTACGAACTCGTCGCATTGAATCTACTCGACTTTACATGAGCGCATGATGCCGCTGGACTACTGCTCATGTGCTGAGATAGCAGTGAAGATTGCTTATTGCTGGAAGGGGTTTGATCCCTTGGCGGGTCGCATAAGAAGCCTGTTTCGCTTCAATAACATTCTTCAAGGCACATGACTTGATGCCCTCGTTCGGCCATGTTGCCGCGGGAGGATTTAAGCTTTACCATCGATCGTCACACTAGTTTTCAGAAAATCCTCCGAGCTGATGTGTCCAGGCGTACACTACGGGATCAAGTATGCATACCGCATCAACTGTCCAAGTATAGGCTCTACTACCGATTTGCTTTCGCGACTGCCGAGCCTTCCGAGTCAGCCAGCTTCTGTTGGAGATGTCCTAGGTAGGTCTGACTTCCAGATTTGTCTGTGCGTCCCATGGTAGAGCAGAATGGCAATTGTGATCAAAGGTTCATGGCATGTATACACCCAACCTCTCGGTAAAGGAAAGATATACGAGTCCTGAGGTAGATGAGAGCTGCGTACTGCATACATTGATGGTAGTACTTACTGAGTATCAATAGCCTATTTAACAAATGATAATGTCGCTAGCCTCTTTCGCTGATGCCCAACGGCCAGGTCAGCCAGGCTGGAACCCAGAACTGATACCTAGTTGAGATATGGCGACCTGAGAAAGCACACTAGACACTTTTCAAAGTGAAAATATATCCACTGATCCAGTACCTGAGATGATGCATTTTTTAACATAGGATTATATAGGTAGGGCAGGTTGTGTCACGAATATCGATTCTTTCCACATGGCCCCCGGTCAAGTCGTGATCGGATCGCACAGCTAGCCGACTGTCATGGCGGCCTCATCGTGATCACTGACATAGATCCATGACAGGAACAAGTCCGTCTGTCCTGTTTTGCAATAACCGCAGGATTCCTTCAGTTCTACCGGAGCTCTATGTTTGGGAATCTGAGAAATCGACGTTCTAGAAACCTTGATTGACCCATGGATCTCGTGAACCCCCCTCCCCCCTTTCGCGATCTCCACAGATTCAGACGATCAGAGTGGGTGATTGGTAGCAAGATCGGGACCTCCCTTCGGAACCAGGCCCTCAAAGACAAGATGAAACCTAGACTGCCGACCAAGGCCAACGAAAACGGGTCAGGGGAGTGATTCAGTCAGGTTTGCGGCAGACGGAGGGGTGCTTTCAAACATGAATCAATGACCTGGATTGAAAATTGAGGTTGAAGCTTGAGACGATCCACACCCCAGGGGTTAGCGAGTGGTGGTGGAACGCGGCGACGCAGACCTGAGCTTAGCATGGCAGAGAGCAAATGCTTTGGAAAGACCACTAGAACTGCTGGTTACTCGAGGAAGCCCAAGTTTGGCCCAATTCTTTGTCACAATTCGGAGCTATGTAGATATTCACTCTATAGTGGAAATGATCTACATAGGAAGGGATGTTGGTCCAAACTGAGAGGACGTGATATTCCACTTTACTTCGGGCGTGGCCTCGTGCGGAGTGTACCTCGGTCGATGGTCCCTTCAACCTTCCTGCCAGGTACATGCTACATCTTTGAGCATGGGTCTTGGGCCCGAGGCCCTGTATGTGAGTGTGGCTTGCGTGGTACACACTACACGAGGTGTACACACAACATAGCCGTCATTCAACCTCCGAGTAGTAGTACGTGTACCAGACACTCGAAGTTGTAGTCCTGTGACGGAGACTCAATAGTGTGATTCGAGCAGACAAACTGCTACTGGGAGTATTCAAGCGCGGTAAACCTATAACCAGTACCTCTTTGGATCCATGTTGTACACGGATGATCCCAGATTCTATACTAGTACTGGCATGCTCCTATCAATGGATGATACAAATGCTGAATAGTGTTGGACACCAGAGAAGAACAGATCTCCCTGACCGTAAACAACCAGTAGTACTGTAGAGTGTAGTAGTTGTGTAGCAAGTTTATTCTATGTATCGACTACCGAGTCTTCAGTGGTGCTGCCCCAAGCGGGGGATGTAGAGCTACAGTGCCCATCTACACGTCGTCAATGTACCCTTACCCGATCGGTCGTGTCAAAATGCCAGGGAGGGTGGCATTGTAGTACATTGCCAAGTCTGCAATCCTGGACACACAGACATGATATGAACAGGATAGACCAGACCTGTGGACGCGTTGATGTGCTCTTCTCTCTAGCGTTCTATCTGATCGCAACTCACTCGTCTTGTTCACATCCACTCCACGAGTCCACCCACACCAACAGTCCTCAATTACTGTACATGAGTGCTACTCCCTCAAATTATCAATTGTACCAATCTATGGAAGTACTACCGCTGTAGTAAGGTTCCTCCGCCCCCCTTTTTTGGCCGCCCTTCAATTAACGCCCCTCTCCACCCCCAGCTGAAACCCGTGATATCCCCTTCCATCCAACCCTGGCTCCGTTTCCCTCTCTTCCCTCTTGGGTTTCCATCTCTTTTTGTTCCTGTTACACAATCTTGCTTCACCCCAGCAAAGCAATCCTCGCACTGCGAGGACCGCTCTCACGCAAGGTTGGTGGCGTTTCTCCAAAACCCCCGTCTTTGCGCGCCCGCTGCCCCTCTCCCTGAACCCGAAAAAAAAAGAATCCACCCCCCCCCCCCCCCCCCGTGTTGAAGGCACCTAAACAGGTAAGCGACTTCCGCCCCGGTACTCCGCCCCTCCTCCGTCGGCCTGAAGTCTGGCCCAAACAGAATCCCCTGATGAAGCGCAAGCGCCCCTGTGTCCAATTCTAAGGACTCGGTCGCTTCATTGCTCTTTCTTGTCTCGACCTGGTCGGAATCCAAGAATCAGACAAAGCAAGCCACAGAGCTGACTTGTGTTGACTGATTGACGCAGCATCGATCTGTCGCTCCCTTCTGTCTTCGCTAGAGATCTCGGTGCCGATCATACTTCAGGGAGCCCGCCTCTCCGGAGATCGTGCCCTCTAGGTCACAGAAGATGGCCTCCTACGGCAAGTAAGTGACCAATCTAGGATCTCTCGCGTGTTCCTTCTCATCTGTCTCGAAGGGGCTGCCGCGTCCCCAACCGGTCGCTCGTGCTACTTCTGAGCATTCGTGCCTTGCACCGTGCGCCGAATGCTCAATCTCGACGACGAGGATGGGCATGATCGCTTTCTTTTTCCGCCCACCCTCCCATCTTCACTCAGCCTTCGACTAACTTGCCATTTTTTGCGGTTTTCCTCAGCGGTGCGATGTATACATCAGACCAATTCATGAACCCGGGGCCGGCCCCTCGACCCCCAACGGACCGTCCCAAGTTGAATCTCCCCGTGAACAACACCGCAACGTCCTTCAGTCAAATGTCTTTGAACTCGCCCATGACTCCCGGCATGAATGGCAACCTTTCGCTGTTCCCCAACACCAGCACGCCCACCTTGAATCGGTCCCAGACGGCAGGGAGTAGCAATCTGGTGGTCAAAGAAGGCTACGTGCGATGCAAGGAAGACAAGTTCCTGGCGACTTGGAATCAGCGATACCTTGTACTACGTGATCTCAAGATCGACTTCATGAAGAGTGAGACTGGCAAGGTCGTGCTGTCTTTTCCTCTGTCCACAGTCACCTCAGTTACTCGGTCCGAAGAGTCCAAGATGGCCTTTGAAGTCACGCGTCTCGCCAACCCCAAGGATGCGGCTAACAAGACGGCCATGATCACGCGCGATGTCGCCACAAAGACCATCACCTGTGAGGTCAAGACTGACGATGAGATCTATGAGTGGATTGACAAGATATATGAACGCTGCCCCGGCATGGGCGGAGTAAGCAACCCAACCAACTTCAGTCATCGCGTCCATGTCGGCTTCGATCCGCAAACCGGCGCTTTCGTCGGTCTGCCTCCTGAGTGGGAGAAGCTGTTGACAGCCTCTGCCATTACGAAAGAAGACTACAAGAAGAATCCTCAGGCGGTCATCGAGGTGCTGGAGTTCTACTCCGACATCAAGATGCGCGAGCAGAATCCCCAATACTTCGCGGGCATGAATGGCGCGGGAGGCGCACCACCCAAGCCTCTTGGCAGCAATGCCGTGGGCAATTCCATTGCTCCTCCTCGTCCCCCGCCTCCAGGCCCTATGCAGCGCTTGGACAGCGGCCAGTCAAAGTCGTCCATGGACAGTACCATGCGTTCGCAGACATCCTCACCCGCCCAGTCGGGTGGCGAGTCCGATCGCGCTGCTGAACAACAGCAACAGCTTGAACGTATCAAGCAGAAGGCGGATCAGGAGCGCCGCCGCGTTGAGGAGGAACAGCGCCGCAAAGAGGACGCTGCGTATAATGCGTCTATTCCTCAAACTCGGGTCCCGCTGGCTAAGCAGGAGCTTGGTGGCTATGGGAGCTCAGATGCGTCCATGAACAATCGCTATCAGCCAAGCCGCCCGGCTCCTCAGGCTCCTGGCGCTGGCGCTCGCGCTCCGGGTGTTCAGCCTTTAACGGCTCAGCGCCCGGCGCCGGCACCTCCCTCGCAGAGTCCCTACGGACAGAGTGCGTCTCGCACTCCTGCTGCTGGAGCCTCTCGCGGTGATGATGCCCAGAACGCGTCCAGCCGCTATGCGGCCAATGATCCTCGCGCACAGGCATCCACTCGCCAGCCCCAGTCCAACGGGACCAAAGGCCAGCAGGGACCTCCTCCCACCCGTCTTCCTGCCCCTGTCCAAGCTGTGAAGCCGCTTAACATTGCCAACAAGCAGGCTGCCCCCAAGCAGCAAGCCGTTCCTGATGGTGTTCGCCAGGCCGAGGCGGCTTTGACGAAGAAGCCCGAGGCGAGCAATAAGAAGGAAGTGCGCATGTCGGCCATGTCTGAAAACGAAGTCATGGATCGCCTGCGGTCGGTTGTCTCCAAGGACAACCCCAACGAGTCGTACAGCAAGCAGCGCAAGATTGGACAGGGTGCATCAGGCTCAGTGTATGTGGCTCGTGTCAAGGAGCACGCCACGTCACCTGTAGCACACGAGCTGTACCGGCAGTACGGACCTCGCTGCCAAGTGGCTATCAAGCAGATGGATCTGCGCAGTCAACCCCGAAAGGAGTTGATCGTAAACGAGATTATCGTGATGAAAGACAGCCAGCACGCCAACATTGTCAATTTTTTGGATTCTTTCTTGCAAGAGTCGAGCAATGAGCTGTGGGTCGTGATGGAATTCATGGAGGGCGGAGCGTTGACTGATGTGATTGATAATAACCCGGTCATCACCGAGAATCAGATTGCGACTATTTGCTTCGAGGTATGCGTTGACTTTTTCCTACATCGGTGTTTCCCCTCTCACCCTTTCCACCGACTTTGATTTAATTGAGTTTATACTGACATTCTCCGGCATAGACTTGTAAGGGGTTGGCCCACTTGCACAGCCAGAATATCATTCACCGTGACATCAAGAGTGACAACGTTCTGTTGGACCGTGTTGGCCACGTCAAGATCACCGATTTCGGCTTCTGTGCCAAATTGACCGAGTCAAAGAGCAAGCGTGCTACTATGGTCGGTACGCCTTACTGGATGGCACCAGAGGTGGTCAAGCAGAAGGAGTACGGACCCAAGGTTGATTGTTGGTCCCTTGGCATCATGGCCATTGAGATGATCGAGTCCGAACCTCCATACCTGAACGAGGAGCCCCTGAAGGCTCTGTATCTGATTGCCACCAACGGTACACCGCGTCTGAAAAAACCCGAGAAGCTCAGCAGGGAGCTCAAGTCCTTCTTGAGTGTCTGTCTTTGTGTAGATGTTCGCAGTCGCGCTACTGCCGATGAGTTGTTGGCTCACGAATTCCTCTCAACCGGCTGCAGCCTCGCCAGTCTTGCTGAGCTGCTGCGCTGGAAAAAGGCCAATGGTCAATAGATGAGACGAACACCTGGATATATAGCGCTTTTCACATTCATCAGCCTTGTCATATGCTTCCGCTTAACGTTGTTTCATTCTTCACTGGCGTCTGAAGCTTGATTCTTCACCTTTCGTCACTGCACAATTACTCATGTCGTCTTTCATACCCCTCTTCTGCCAAACTTTTCAAGTCACTCGAAATACCATGACCACTACTATCCATCATTAGCGGCAGCACTTTTGTTTTCGCCCTCACCCTTGTTCCGTCTACCTGTCTACGAAGTTGATTGACCACTTTGAGGATTTTGCTCTGCGCACATATGGGTTTGATTTTTAAAGGGCTGCGTTGATACAAAAAACATGTTGAACTTGCGTTCTTTCAACCTCCCCCTTCTCTCCCTCCCCTACACCTGCTCTCTAGTCTCTCCACCTGCTTAACGAAACGACATTTGTTTGACCCAACCAGTCACCTGTGTTTCATATCATACCTGAGCCTTTCTCATTTCTGATTGCTTAATCGATCAGATATCCAGTGAACTCGTATAAAGCTCATTTCACCCATTCAGTGTTGGCAGCCAACAGGATCTTGCTGCATCTTTCTAAATAGTCTCGGTTGCTGCAGAGCATATGTTCGATTTCTTCGATTCTCCGAGTTGGTGGTGGGTTCAGACAGGGCAGTATCTCGATTGGCGTGTCCTTATCGCCGAACTCCTTGCATAGAGCATGCGATCGCGCCGTCTCCAAACAACGCAACTAATGTCGTATTGTATACTGTCGACGGGAGTCGAAAGAACCCAGGACTTTCCGAGTTTGGAGCAACGCACTGACTCCGCCAACCAGGACAACTGCTTAATTACTTTACTCGTCTTGCGATGTACAACAGTATAGCGATTAGAATTACCGATTTCACGCTCTGGGCCTCCACTCACTGGAGATCGGAACCCTGGAGCAAGCTAGTGGAGGGACACAATCCAGTGAAGAGAATTGCAAAGGTCAAAAAAGCCAAAAAGCCATATCCAATATCCAAGATCCAAATCTTACATTGCACACATTCCATTCGTCCTTCGGGCTAGCCAGCGTCCCCATCTCAAGGGGTCCTGGAAGCGTTCTGGACTCAAATCAACAATTAGAACATGATATCATGATCGTAAACAGTCTCCAATGCTCAAAGACTCTGGAGCCACTAATAACACCGCAGAGGTCAAGGCAGTCCCTGCTCAACAGCCTGGCGTAAATACCCACAAGCCGTTCCGAAAAGCACGCCCTTCAGCACAGTCTCGCCTTCGTCGGCGGTCCATCGACCGGCCTTTGTGAGTCTCTGTTTCCAGGCTTGTTGGTCCTCGGGGCTGAGGTCGGTCCATGAGCGATATTGTTCGCTTCCTTGTTCTTGGGACGCTGTTCCGGTGTAGGGGTCGCCTTCGTTGTTTGATGTTAATTGATACGCGGGGAGAGTATCGACTAGAACGGTTTGATCTGCGTTTTCGCCCGTGCCGCAGCGTAGAGTGACGGAGAGTTCTTTTGGCGCGAGAGTGGCGAGGTCGATGGGCGCGGCGCCGACATTGTGTAGTCTGTCGAGGATTTCCTTGAGGCGCTCGATTTGGGTTTCTTTGTCTGGGGTGGGGGTGCTTGGGATCACGGGCGCCGAGTGGTGTTTGCCACTCGTGGATGGAGCGAGGAGACTGTCTAGGAAGGAGCCTTGTCCTGGTGCAGGCGGAGTGTATTCGTTGACGAGAGTATGGCGCCATGGCCCGGGGACCCATTTCTGGGCTCCGAGGATGGGAGGCGTCACGCCGCGGATCTCGGCAAATGTCAGGGCGAGACTTGTCACGAGGGATAGTGAGATGATCAGGGCGATGATGTAAAGCATGGTGTCGCGGAGTTCGGTGGCGCCTGGCTGCGATAAGACGTAGCGGGGTGTACGTGATGATGGGGGCAATGGGGACAGTGGAAGGGTGTGAACCACGACGGTGTTTCCCATGCTGATAGAGGCGAGTTTGACGCTTTGAGGGAGGACGTCCGCGGTCACTGGGTGTGTTGGGGGTGTGAATTTGGAAAATACGACTTTTGTCATCGAGAAGGGATGTACATCGCGGAGGATCGAATATGGTTGAACTTTGCTGTAGCCCTTGGGTGGATTGTATTCTAGCGTCAAGAGGGAAATAGAATTGTCGCTACCGCTGACGGCAATGATGGTTTGTTGTTGACCGGATGGATTGGTGCCGAGTGGACAGATATCGAGACCAAGGCCGATCTGTACACCGCGCGCTAGCTTTCGACGACGAAGAATCTTCGCTTTGCCGGAATAAGTCGTTGGCAGACGCATGATGACCAGCTCGCTTCCGCCTCGATTTGGTGCATTCTGAAGCAGTATCAGAACGGTCGATGTCAGGAACCGCAAGGCTCGAAACTTTGGCCGAGCGGCACGAGCACCGCTGCTAGGCAGAGGAATCGTATGAATACGACGCACTTCAGGAGCTGCATCAGACCGCGTTGATGCCGAGATCTCGCAGACCATCACGTCAACTCCGTTAGTGTACGCCACACGATATTTCCCCCGTGCATCGACGGTCTGCTCCATATCATCTTCCAAGCTTGCAAAATCCACATCTTCCGCTTCTTCGCTCCCCTCGAGACGGATCCGGCCGATGACATCCGCCTCAGTAGGGCCGTTGCCCACCTTGAAAAAGACAACTTCTCCAGACTGAGCCATGCCCGTCGCAATAGCACCCACCCTAGTATCCTGGCCCTTGATCCTGGCATCATCCTGCCTCCAGGGCGACAGTCTCATCACGCGCTGATACGTGTCGCCCGAGTCTGGCCCCTTCGATCGGAAGATCGAAGCACGCGAAAGGGACTCGGCCGTTCCGGACACCGTTGTTTCTTTCTGCTTCTTCCGCGGCGCATCGAATCGAAATGATCGCATATGTTGGTTCACTCCTTTCTTCTGATCGGCAACAGAGCTGTTAATCCCCGCTAGCACGATCAATGAGTGCTCGTCATCATTAGGCTGGGGCGCCGCCGCGAGCGACGTCACCGAGTCCTCGTCGCGCGACAAGTTGATTTCCACAGCTTCGGTAATTTCATCACGATTCGAAGTATCTATCAGAGACTATCATAAGGTATTAGTATGAGCATTTAGAGGTTGCGAATCAGTCTTGTCCACGTTGCTGACCCAGTCCCCTCACTTACAATCTTGTTTCCAACTCCGCTGCGACCTTCGCCGCCTCCGCCGCCAACAATTAGACGTCCATTGTCGCGCGGGTCAAAATCCGCGGCGAACAGTGGACAGGAGAGGGTGAGCTTGGCAGAATAGACCGTTGGCGCCATCGGGTTCGTCAGGGTGAGCTTGGTCTAGCGTCCGCTTTGCTCGAGAGAGAAACAAAAGAAAAGGACAGCTTGGACATGCGATCGAGAGTTGCCCCAGACTCTTGGCGCGGCCGACCGCATTCGAGACCGCGGCGGAGTTAAGCTTTCAAATACTTGGCCCTCGCGGACTTTAAAATTGTCAAATTCGAGACAATGCCACCTGAGAAGCAGAGTGACGGTGTGATACAAGCCCTTCTCCGCTAGAGGCTGGCTACCTGTGGCCACAGTAACTCAAGGTCAGACTCAAAAAATAAGGTGGAAAAAAATGGAATGGTGTATAATTTTTGATCATGCCAACAAAAACTCAGCGCTCAACTCATGCTAAGTGCTAGATATTTACTCAATTTCCTGGCCAGTGAACTCGGGAAGACGCTTAAGAATGTCGGCCCAAGTCTCGTCGCCATCAACAAGAGACTTGATGGCCCGCAGAATCTCCTCTTCGCTAGCACGAACCTGCTTGGTCGTGTCGCGGTCACGCAGAGTGAAGGTGTTGTCCTTGACGGACTGGAAGTCGACAGTGACACCGAAAGGAGTACCCAGCTCGTCGTTACGGGCGTAACGCTTGCCAATACTGGCAGAAGAGTCATCAACTCGGCTAGAGACACCCATGCGGCGCAGCTTGGCGCTCAAGCTCTGGGTCAGGGGCTTGAAAGAGGCGTTGGTAGACAGGGGCACCAGCAGAACCTTGGTGGGAGCGATAGAAGGGGGGAATGAGAGGACCTGTGAAAAGTTGGGTTAACACAAGATGTTATCATAATATCCGCCGCTGGAAAATACCAAGGGGTGGATCAACTTACACCACGAGCCTCATCGCCGGCGCGAGACCAGTAGACGTGCTCAATCATACTGTACATGATACGACCGATACCGAAAGAGGGCTCGATGACGTTGGGAGTGTACTCGCGGACATTCTCGACGCGGGTACGCTTCTCAATTTTAATCAGATCCTTCTCCAGCTCCACCTTACCAGAGCCAACACCTTCAATGTCGACCTCGATCTTGCCGTTCTTCTCCAGATCCAAGGCCAGCTTCTCACGCAGATCCTGGGAGAGCGCATCAATGGCGGACTCGACAGTCTTGGCGTCCTTCTTGAAGCGAGGACCAAACTTCTTCTTCTCCAGATCGATCTGCCACTCCTCGATGCGGAGAGGTTCGGCGCGAGTCTCACGGACGACGAGAGGGGCACCGGTCTTGTTCTTGTGCACGGTCAAATCGTAGGCACTGCGGTCGGCACAGCCAACACACTCAATCCAGCCATAGCTGGTCTGCAACTCAGCATCCCAGCAGTCGGCGGCGTAATGGGCCATCTCATTGGCCATGTGCTGCCGGAAGCGCAGCTTGTTGAAGTCAATGCCGAGCTTCAGGAGGAAGGACTGGATGCGGGCAAGGAAATAACCGAGGGTCTCGTTGTCGACGAGGCCAGTCTCGACAGCCTTGCCAATGGTCATCTTCGTCGTCTTCGTGCTACCGGACAGTTGAACATTGCGATCCAGCAAAGACATCTCCACGTCCTTGACCTCAGCGAAGCGGGGGTGCTTCTTACCACCCTCGGGGTCGACGTAGTGCTCGATCTCAGCCATAAGGAACTCACGCACACGCAGAAGACCAGCACGAGGAGAAATCTCATTTCGGAAGGACTTGCCAATTGAAGCAGAGGCAAAAGGCATGCCCTGCTGGTTGAACTCGAGCAGCTTCTGGAAGTTCAGGAATTGACCCTGGGCAGTCTCAGGGCGGAGGTAACCCGGCATGTTGCTGCTGGGACCGATGGAGGTCTGGAACATCAGGTTGAAGGCGACGGGAGGCTCAACCTTGCCGCCAGTGGAGGGGTTGCGGATGTCGTGCTTGTTGATCAGCTGCTCAAGGGCAGGACCGTCATAGTTGTCGATCTGTGCGAGCGTCTCCTCGTACTCCTTGACAACAGCATCGTCCAGCTTGACAGCCTGAGTCTCGCCCTTGGACTTCTTCTTCTTCTTGGCCTCCTTCTCAGCATCGACCTCAACCTTCTGGCCACGGGCCTCTTTATCACCCTTCAAACGATTCTCCAAGACCTCCTCCAACAAGTGGTCGGCACGGAAGATCTCGCCAGTCTTGGGATCCTTGCACATCCAGTCGGCAAACTTGTCCACGTGCCCACTGGTCTTGAGAATTTCGTGAGGGGTCAACATGGTGCAGTCGACCTCCAGCATATCCTCCTCAAGCACGAAATGCTTGCGCCACAGATCAGTCATGTTGGCGACCAGCGCGGTACCTGGTGGGCCATAGTCGTACAGACCAGACACACCACCGTAAATTTCGAAGGAGGGGGTATAAAACATGCGGCGGCGAAGCATCGAGTCCAGTACCAGGCGATCGACCGCCTGACCGGTCTTGGTGGTGACGGTGGCCATCTTGGGGTTGCGATTGGACTTTTTCTGGAGCGCAGTCGAGCAGGTGAAAGTCCTGAATTGGATGAATGGAGGGGAAAGAAGAGAGCGGGGGAGGAATCGGCGCGGCAGGAATTGAGTCATCCACCAAGAAAGAAGTCCGCTTTAGTTGGACTTCGTGGTCGCCGCAGAGGATAGAAAAATACAAGTCCAAAGGGTCTAGAATACAAAAGAAGAAGAAGAAGCAATTAATCAATGAGGGTTTCTTGTTTTTCTCTCTCTCTCTCTCTCTCTTTCACCACCTCTGCTTCAGTTCTACTTCCAATGTTGAATACCCCTTTGCGATCGAATTTACCACGCTGCGGGATCCGCCCGTCGCGGCTTTGATCCGGAGGAACAATAATCCGTGATAATTTATTTCATCGGCGCAGATTAGATCGGAGCTTTGGCTGGACGCACTCTCAAAACGAAGTAGAATCTCGCTCTATCCATTCACAGACAAAAGCCTACAACTCACAATGGGCATGAAAGGTCAAGGGCGCCCGCCCCCCAATTCGGGCATGGAGGTGAAGACGGCCAACAAGCTACGCCGAAAGATGTTGCACATCAAGCGCAAGAGAACGAAGGATGCCGAACGCCGCGCCGAGCGCTACGCTTTTAAAAAGGAAGAATCGAAGAATCCGAAACTGCGAGAAGAGCGTCTTCGCCGCAATGTGCCTCTTACACTCGAGCGAAAGCGTGTCTGGGACGATGCTGGCAGCGACGCCGAGGAGGACGGCCTGGGGTTGAGTGTGGATATTGAGCGTATCAAGCGGGCGAAGCAGGAAGAAGAGGAGGAGTTGAACCGTCCCTTGAAGGACGGTGAGGACAACAGCGATGATGCGGACTCTGACAACGAATCCGTGGACAGCATGATTGCCACAAGTGACGAGGACGAGGACGATGAGGACGATGAGAAGGAAGACGCGGAGGACGACGACAATCAGGCGGGTCGTGGACGTAAAAAGTCATGCTTGCCCACCGCTACGGAACGAGCCACCAGTCCAACACAATCCACTCGCAGTACCAACTTGAGTCTCGCTCCTGAAGCCCTGGCTGCCAAATTCCCCTCTCTCTTCTCCAACGAAACTCCCCCCGCTCCCAAGATTCTGATCACGACGGCGATCAACTCGACCCTCCACAACGAAGCGGAAATTCTGACAGACCTGTTCCCGAACAGTGTATACATTCGACGAACAGCTCACCGATATTCGCACAAATTTTCCATCCGGGAAATCTCCAAATTCGCAGCCAATCGCAACTTCACCACCGTGGTGGTTCTACAAGAAGATCAAAAGAAGCCGAGCGGATTGATTGTCGTTCATCTGCCCGTTGGGCCGACCTTCCATTTCAGTATCAGCAACTGGGTTGAGGGGAAGCGGTTGCCCGGGCATGGTCGCGCGACCGGCCACTGGCCCGAGTTGATTCTCAACAATTTCCGTACTCCTTTGGGCCTGCTCACTGCACGCATGTTCCAGCAATGCTTCCCACCATTGCCTGATTTCGAGGGACGTCAGGTTGTGACCCTCCACAACCAACGTGATTACATCTTTGTTCGCCGTCACCGCTACGTGTTCCGCGAGAAGCGCGAGACTGAAAAGGCCGTCGTCGGTGCAGACGGAAAGGAAATGCAAGGTGCCGAGGGTATTCGAACTGGATTGCAAGAGCTTGGTCCACGATTCACGTTGAAATTGCGACGTGTGGACAAGGGTATCCAGCGAACTAGCGGACAGGAGTGGGAGTGGAAGGGTGGAATGGAAAAGGAACGGACGAAGTTCCAACTCTGAAGCTTCTTGCTGTTGGTGTTTTTCCCGATCTCTTCCACGGGACTATCTTGTTTTATTTTGCATGGGGTTTGCGGAGTATCTAAAAAAGCATGGGTTTCACTGCTGAGTTGTGTATAAACTTGTACATAGAATAATGTTGTTCGTCTGGCCAGCCTTGGCCAGCTCCATTTCACGGACTGATTTCGTAGAACATGGAGACTTTTCTCGGAGATTGGTTTGGCTAGTTCTGCCTTATGACAGAAGCGAACAATCTTCGAACCGTATATTCCAACTAGATCAACTCTGTCATTGAGATTGGGAACAATATGGCACCGCAAATCGTTTCGGCGCGTGGTGTCCGATCCCTACTTTTCTTATCGCCCCAAGTCACGCGATGATCATCCGTTCCTGATCCAGATCTTTGGTAATAATCATATAATTTTCCGAGTACAAGCACGATCCCGACACCAAGTTGTTCGACCGTGTCGCAATTCACGCATCTGTTGGTATAGCGGCAAGCGAGGTCGCTAGCGCATCTCAGCTCATCGCATCTCATTCGTTAGCGGAGCTCATATTGTCAATCTGCTTTCCCTTGGAGCGAGACACACCTCTGCGCCTTCGCCAAATGATATCCATTGGCCTAAACCCCTGCGGACTGAATCCTCATTCTTGTCGGCGCATCTACTGCGCTCAGTCGATTTGAGCGACATCCACGCAAACATATCTCATCTGAGAAAACATCGCAATATACTACCCTCAATCATCTACGCCAAGTCTCTCGTCCCATCTCCGCAATCTCTTCTACCACCACCACCACCACCACCACCACCACCACCATGACACTCACGCGCCCGCCCCAGCGCCTTCTCTACATTGCCTCGATCGGCAACCCAGCTCCGTATCGCAAAACCCGCCACAGCGCCGGCCACATCCTACTCGACTCGATAACGCCACTTCTGCGCGCGCGCCTCGGCCCCTCCGCCTCCCACCTCTACACAACCTTCTACAGCCCGTCTCTCATGAACATCTCCGGGCCGAAAGTCGTGTCCACGATGCAGAAATGGCTCGCGGGCCGCGATAACTCCATCGCACCGGATGCTCTGCCCCCAGCTGTCTTGCTGTCCGGTCTAGACAGACAGGTACCAGGTTCGCCGGCTTCGAGTTCGGGGAGACGGGGGTTCCCCGCTACGCTGGTCATTCTGCATGACGAGCTGGAGGCGCCGCTGGGCAAGATTCGTGTGAAGAGGGGCGGGCCTGAAAGTGCGAGTTTGAGAGGACATAGGGGGTTGATTAGTGTTTTGGAGACGCTTAGGGGGAAGGGGCTGTTTCCGGGTTCGGGGGCAGGGAGTGTGAAGACGAATGTCAAGACGAAGACGAGGCTCGGAAAGCGTGAGGGTGGGTTGCCAAGGGAGTTGGAGGTGCTGAGGGTTGGAATTGGGATTGGGAGGCCGGCGGGGAGGGAGAAGGATGCGGTTGCGAATTATGTGTTGAAGGAGATGGAGGGGAGGGAGTTGGATGCGGTGTCGAGAGCGGCGGAGAGTGTGGTGGATGTTTTGGAGGAGGAGATGTGTCGGGTTGGGTGAGGACTGTGTGTCGTGGCGATGTGAGAGTATGGTTGTTGGCAGTGGACTTTTGTCCGTGGATGACATATGTTACGATAACGCGATACCCTTTGCATAGTGTGGGCTTGTTTGTGATGCGAACAGATAGATTGGATAACCCGCGGGCTTCTGATGCCTGACTTTCAACGCTTGGAATAATCACGAGAATAGAAAGGTATGATTGGATTTCTCCCGGCTTTCTTACTGCGGGACCCAGCAGAGGCCTTGGAAGTCGTAGGGTATTGCAACGGAAAAGATATATCTTCCCATGGGTTCCGACTCTTCAACGGAGACGAGCCGGAAAGATGTGCAAAAAAAAAAGGACATGATTCACAAGCTTGAGTGATGCAAAAGTTGCCGAGCATGATCAGATATGGAAAGGAGTGGGAAAATTGAAACAATTCAAAAAAGGAGAAGAAACTATTATCAGTGACATCACCCATGATCACCCCCTCCGCGATTATGCAGATTATAAAATGTTCTGGTTCGAGAGCCCTCAAACAGTGCCAGCAATGCTCAACTCCCGAATCTCCTGCAACACCTCCTCTACCCGATTATCTAGATCACCCCGAGCATACTGATCTCTTGTCTCTGCATCCAGGTATTGCTGTACCTGCGCCATCCGTGAGTACGCCTCGGCACAGAATCGCAATTGAATCTTGACCAAGGCTTCGAAACTCGGGTCCAGGTAGGGAACGCGCAGGTCGATAAGTTGCGGTAGCTCGGTAAAGAGCTGTTCATTGAGTTGCTCGTACGCTTGCTTGGCGAGTTCGGTCTCGCGCTCGGTACGGGGCAGCTTGGAGGCGTCCTTGTCGGGCTTCTCGACCAGTCTCTTGACCTTGGCGCGCATGGCGTCGTAATCGAGCAGCTTGTGATTGCGCTTTTTGATGCACTCGTTGACGTCGGGGAAGTAGGCGCAGAAGCGGGAGATGGGATCAAGAACAGTTGTGCTGAGATTGGGATTAGCGGGGGGCTTCTTCAAGAAATTCTTCCTCTGCCAATCGGCTCTGAAGCTTCGGCTAGACGTACCGGTAAGGGCCATCCAGGGCCTTGATCGTCTCCGCATCGAGATCTTCAACCGCTTGTCTGTAGCTTCGACTCACACCGTCGCGAGTACCCGCGTCACCATAGAAAGCGTCAATAGTCTCGGCAATGCGCATCTGCGAGGCGGTCATGGCTGGAAAGGTCGGACATTTGAATTGTCAGTTCTGTGGTAGCGGTATGTCCCAGAGAACAGCAATAGCGCAACATCAAACACACCTCGCAAAGAATCCAAGTATCCTTTTGCCTCCTTTTGCAATCGATTGGCCGCAGCCTCCATTGTTCGGTATCGACTAACGTTTCGCAATGTCCGTCAACGACCGTGTCCGTTGATCAGGGTCCGCCTCTGAGTCACCAGGAAATCACCTACCGCTCCTCGAGTTCATAGTCTCGGTCACTCGTGCGCTCGACATGTCCTGAGAGATTTTATCAAGATTACTCGTCAGCCGTGATCCCCACAGACAATCGCCGGTCAGCGTTTTGGCCGTTCCTGCGCCCAACTCCCGACCGAGCCTCTTTGCGGGGTAGTCATTCCAATGGAGCCTCACCTGTTTTCATCATCACCTGCGTCGTTGCGCGGTTGACATTTTTCTTGAATCCTAGTCACACCTCGAACGTCAATCGACTATCTCATGATTCCGATGTTGTCGCGACACGAGGGCTCGCATGCACGCGGCGGGGTGGGACAGAATCGCCCAGAACATACCTGCCCACGACATGGCGGCAGCTTCAGGGGAAATGCTATTGGGAAGTTCGAATAATAAACCAGTAGATAATCTCGTTCTCCGGTATGGCGAGATCAAGTGGACTGACAGCAGCGCTCTGGCGTGAAGTGTAGGTGGTTCCTTGCGACGGTGGAAGTAAAGGAAGAAGTTCGCTGGTACAGGTGCCCGTTCCACCAGTTTACCGCACCCACGTCAGTTCGGTGACGGTCTCAGAGTGCAACTTGTCTGCCTTATGGCGGCAGGGCTGTGGCTGTGGATGTGGCTGTGGCTGTGCTTGACACACCGGCAGTCCACTCCAGCATACTACGATCGTACTGAGGTCGTAAGACTAGGTACCTTAAGGTAGGTGGTACTTTAGGTGGTGGACCGCGGGGAGTGTCCTTGCTTAGTCAGATGAGCTCGAGCCCGTGACGCCTGGGGAGCACAGGTACCCTACGTCATAAGTGGCTTGAGCGGGAATGGCCGAAATCGGTCGATTACGTCGTGAACTGTACCTGCCCAGAGGTGGGACAGGCGTCATAAGACTTGGTAGTTGCCAGTTGGTAATGGAGTAGGAAGGGGTTTGGCTTTGAGTGATCGTTTAAGTGTAGCTAGACAGTCTCTAGCACATACACAATACTCCAGATGAGAAGCGCTGGGTTGTATTGGAGGTGTTCTAACGGAAATTAACAGGACTTGTGAATCGGTCATCTTGCTCGATGTGATTGTTTTAGACACGTACGAGGAGGATGCGTCTTGCAGGGAACTTCTAATGGACTGAGCTACTTCTATCGAGGACATGGACCGATTTGAAAATATATTCCATTATATAAGATCAAGTGGATGTTCGGACTCAATTTTACTATGACCTCCTTATGAGACACATACGAATAGATAGGTTATTTTATTTGATTCAATCATTGCAGCGACAGGACAAAACAGACCTGTCGAATCCCAATTGCACTTATTACAAAAGATCCGAATCACTCATTTGACCAGACTAGTAGTCATCACCACGCTTCTGCTCGCGACGCTCAGCGCCACGCTCCTGCAGGGAGTTGTTCTTCAACATATCGCCAGCCTTCTCCATGACCTTGCCAAGGGTGCTGTCACCACCTTGCTTGGACGAGTAGTCGTCCTGGCGGTTCGACGAACCGTAGGAATCGTTGTTGGAGCCGCCGTAGGTGTCGGTGTTGCGTCCAGACGAGCCGTAGGAGTCATTGTTGGAGCTTCCGTAGGTGTCGGTGTTGCGTCCAGACGAGCCGTAGGAGTCATTGTTGGAGCTTCCGTAGGTGTCGGTGTTGCGTCCAGACGAGCCGTAGGAGTCATTGTTGGAGCTTCCGTAGTTGTTGGTGTTGCTTCCAGACGAGCCGTAGGAGTCATTGTTGGAGCTTCCGTAGGTGTCGGTATTGCGTCCAGACGAGCCGTAGGAGTCATTGTTGGAGCTTCCGTAGTTGTTGGTGTTGCTTCCAGACGAGCCGTAGGAGTCATTGTTGGAGCTTCCGTAGGTGTCGGTATTGCGTCCAGACGAGCCGTAGGAGTCATTGTTGGAAGACCCAAAGGTGTCCTTGTTAGAGGAACCATAAGAGTCAGTGTTGGAAGACCCAAAGGTGTCGGTATTGCGTCCCGAGGAGCCGTAGGAGTCAGTGTTGGAGCTTCCGTAGGTGTCGGTGTTGCGGCCGGACGAGCCGTAGCTGTCAGTGTTGGCAGAACCAAAGGTGCCCTGGTTGGAGGAACCATAGGAGTCGGTGTTTTGTCCAGAGGAGCCGTAGTTGTCCGTATTGGAGGAACCATACGAGTCGTTGTTGGACGAGCCGTAGGAGTCGTTACCTCCGGAGCCGTAGGAGCGCTGGATCAAAGGGATTAGCAACGACTCTTGCCAGACGGAGAGTGAGAGACGCATGGTGCTCCACGAGCCATGTTTACGAGTAGCACGGATGCTTGACCCGTCGACTTGGGAAGTTGGGATAGAGAGTGTGTCACTTACGTTGTTATCGTTGTAAGACATGATGATTATTAGGTTGGGGGAGAAGAAAATTTGTCAATACTGGAGTTTGAGGAAGAAAGTGAAGAAAGGGACAGTTGTACACCTGAGAGGTTCTCGCGGGATGACGGGCTATTTAAGCGCTTGAGCAAAGAAGAGAGAAGGGGAAGATGATCATCCCATTTGCTTGCAAGCCACCCCCACCCTCACCACCAGCACCACCAGCACCACCAGCACCACCAGCACCACCATCACTATCACACCCACCAGCTCGCAATGCTAGTCGGGGACAGCGGATGAGCAGACAGACTGCGCAATGGGGTTGCCCCGCTTCAGCATCTGCTCGTCTTTTTGAGTTTCCCCAGGACAATCCAGCCGGGATCGTCATTGGGGCTAGCTTCAGATGAGACGGAAGGGCGGGGAGACCAAGTGGTGGTCTTGCCGGTGGTGCGGTGGTACCCAAAGTTCTAGCCAAGGATGGCTCTGGCTACTTCAAGGTGACTGTCATCGAGCCATTGTGCTTGCTCCGCATAGCTTCGAGGTTCTCCAAGTCCTTCTCTGTTGGCAATTGATACAGATGTGTCCTACTGTATTTCGCGGCTCACTCAATTCGGGATTGGCAATTCGCACTCATACCGGTGGTCGTCGTCTCAGAGTCTGTCCTCCTCCGGACTACGATGAGTCTGATTCCATTCTCAATCGGCGCTCCCACTCCACTCCCCACTTCACCTCCGAACTATTGGCAAAGTCGCCACCGAGGCAGCTTAGCGCCCTTTGTCTGGGCAGCTGAAGACTATTTTTATGTGTCTGGTCCTGCTTTCGGTCCACCACCACGACGAGGGTCATGAGCAGGTACGAGACTGTGCCGTTCATGTCGGACACCATGCATGCATAGGTGATTCTTCCATCTCCCGAACCTGCAAGACATCAATTGCACTTGACGTATTTCTCATCACTGGAAAGCGCAGCTACGAATCAAGTCCAGCGACCTCTGCGTCCTGATATCATCCCCGACTCGGGGCCTCGGGGCCTCGGAGCATCTGCAGGAAAGCTTGTCCGCGGGCTGTGAACGATGCGCAAGTCTTTTCCCCACTGGAGCGACTCACATATGGCGAACATGTAATAATCGACGTCGTGAATTCGCGGCTGTCCTATGGGTCGATAACGTGGCGCGTATAACCAAGGAGGAGGACGGAATGGACCAACGCCACGTTGGCTCTCAGACCTCCGTGATTCTATCGCTTGCCTGGGAGGGGCAACAGCATCTCGTCATCTTGAATTCCGGGAGAATGAATCATGATAGCTACCTAATGATGATCCGCTCCGTAGACAGAAAGGTCATCATTTTCATTAATCTATGCACAGCTGGGATGTCCCTCGGCCACGTCATATATTGTCTTCAATGGCTACTGTTTTGTTCCTGGAGGAACTGATCGGTCCAGAAGATCAACGAAGCCCGCAATCGGGGATTCATGCCCTTCCCGGGCGGCTTGGCTGCTTTGCGAGCCAGTACAGAAGCTCAAATTCCATATACTGAGTCGTCGTAGTCGTAGTCGTAGTCGTAGTCGTGGAAGATCCCTGCGTGCTATGATCGAATCATCATTCAGATCTAGAGCACAGCTTGTCCCCGTTTACCCCGCTGAGGACCACGAATGCACGTGGAATCTCACGTTCGCCCCGTGTTTTCCGGCAGTCTTGAGAAGTTGAGCCCTTGGACAGGACCCTCATCAGCTCTTGTCTGCGTTGGCGAGATCCTCGGCTCTTTTATCCTGGGTGAAGTGCTGTGGATAGTGGGTAGAGGTACGAGGAGTAGGTGCTAATTAGCAAATACAGTAGTGGCTTGAGTGGCAATTAGCAGCTGTCGAGCTGAGGTGCACGGGAATGATGCCAGACTAGTACGACTACCCCGCAGTCTGCGCACTGTTAGAAAGTGTCTCAGCCGCATCCAGCCACATGCATGCACAGCCACACTCCGGTCCATGAATTATGATCACCGACTGTCGAGCGGATGCATGGTAGGACGAGCCGACGAGCCAGCAGGTGCACCGAGCACTGACTATCTATCTCGGCTGATGTCCATTTCCTGGTGTCTACACTCTACAGTCTACGGTGTTTTGGACGGAGCCCGACAGCATCAAGGAAGTAATGACCAGATCAGTTTGGTCCAGATGTGGTCCATCTCTACTAGTGTCGGATATTGCACTCGGGAAAACAGGAAATGGGGACCTAAGTGTCACAGATGCGGATAAATATGGAAGAAAGTAGTGATGGTGGATGACATTTCTGTCTCCGGAGCGGAGGGCGCTGGGAACCATGGCGGGATTAATGACCTCGTGACTTCCTGCGGGCATATTGCACATGTACACGACGGCTCTACGGTCGTTGTGATATGGATGACTTCGAGGGGCTTGCTGCTTCACAATGCAGGCGGGTACTCTACCACATACATCATGGTAGGGGGTAAAGGTGTACCGCACCTTTGAATGGAGAGAATGTTTCAAAAGCAGCATGTGGTCTAATGTCTACTATGATCATGGTCATTCCCTGACAGGCAAATACACCACATCAGGGACAAGTTCTCAATCAGAGGACTTTGATCGGCGAACACGATCACATCAGAACAGAACAAGATCCTTGTCCAGTCAGCCAAGCAAGAGGACAACCTCCATAAGAAATAACACACACTCAGAACTCCCGTCCCGTCGCTCACTCACTCATCAGCTCATCAGTATCCAAGAGATCCACGACGCATCTAGACCATCCAACCAGTTCAAATCCCCCCCAGCTTCTCAAACAAATCTCTCGGCACATCATCTTGATCTTCCCTCGGATTTCTGAACGGAACGAAAGACATGGCCGCAATCTTGGCCTTGTCAACATTCACCCCCAGCTCCACAAACAACCCTTCCAAATGTCGATACTGTCGAATCGCCCGACCAATATGCACCAGCGCAATACCATCCAGCTGCGGCTTGATATCCTCATCGAATTCCTCTAGCAAGAGTCGCAGATCCAACGAGTCCGGGTAACTGCAACGATCCCCCGCGGCTGCAAGTGAAGCCTTGAACAAATCTACGGGACTGTGGAAGTTGACCGTACCTGAACCGCATGTCTCCCCCGTGACTTGGCGGGGCGTCGGCCGGATGAGATATGTCTTCGGCCGGGCGCGAGCCGTGGCGTAGATGGAGCAGAAGACGCGGATGGGCACGGGGTCGCTCTTGTCGTCGAGGTCGAGCTCAGTCCATTGGAGGTCGACGTAGTCGTCTCGATTCTTGGGGAGGGTTGCGGTGAGTCCGACGCCGTGGTCGACGGCGTCGACGGCGTCGACGATTTGCCGTTGCGAGGCGTTGGCGATGCAGTCGATCCTTTTGGTTTCGCGGTCCTCAGATAGCTGGCTCATGGCGAATCCGCCGATGATGCAGTATTCAATGCCTGCGGCGCGGAGGCAGAGGTTCATCGTGATGGCGGAGTCGTTGAAGCGGGCGATCTCCATGTTGTAGGTTAGAAATTGTACACCTGTGATTGCTTCTTCAGTGAGATTTTGAGTTGGTGGTTGTAGGGGATAGTAGAATGGAAATCCTGTAGACTGGTGATCAGAAAGGAGTCCGGGAATCGAGAAAATTGGCGGCGAATAAATACACGACGATGACAATACTCCCGGAGTCGAGAGAATATGCTACCATTGGATCTAGATAGCACAAAGCTGTGATTGGGGTCCGAAGGCGTAAAAATAGAGGGCATTATGGTTTTGACGATCATAGACGATGTCCCAGTTCGTGATTCAGACCCTCGAAAGCGTTCAATGTGAGTTGCAGAGGTGGCTTGAGACGACGTTGTCTTGGGGACTTCTTTGACAGCCCCGATGCTTTGACCGATCTCGTGCTCGTCTCCATGTTCCGTGATAAGACTGCTGCCAAATATGGGGGTTGGGCTGTTTTACTGGGAGAGAGCCCATTTGGGACTGTTTCAGGTCGAGCAACAATTGCGCAACAAAGACTCGGGCATTCACAGTTGCGCTGTGTTCCATTGGCTCATAATGCACAAAAGGCTGGAGTCAGAACCACAAGTCAAGTCATCAAAGAAAGCCTTTCCATGCAGATCAAAGCCCGTCTATGTATAGCCAAAGGCCAAGAAACACGGAATGAAGACAGCACTAGATGGATATAGTTCCTGCCGAATCATATCCAATTAGTACTAACTACCTAGTGATAGGGGTACTAGATTAGTAGAGACTAGGTACGGATCCCTCCGAGGCCAAAATGCATCTCCTGTCTCGACAGACTCAAAAGAAAGTCTAAAACAAGTTCCTCGAGTAAGAAACACTCGTTCACGTAGTATCTTGGGCAGTCCAACCTTCCAATGAGGTGTCAAATAATCATCTGGTCAACTTTCCCCAACATGATGCAAAAAGCGCCTTTGCCTTATGTTTCCTGAACTATATCCCCCTCCTCACAACTAGGATAGTATCTCTTCTCACCTTTTTCACTTCAAGTGGCCCAGAATGAATATCCCGATAGCTACCTGCTGGCAAGATATGCTAGTACTTGGCACTAAAAGGTTTGAAGACACTCACGCACACCTCAGTACCTAGGTAAGCAATTCCGTAATAGGACATGTCATGATACTATCAAGACATCCAATTCTCATGAGCAGGTACCAGCAGTGACCGGATCAGGACCGCAGAATGCCCAACCCAGTTCAATCATCAACATATCTCCGCTGCAGCCCGAATACCCCCGTCACTACTGGAAAATAACCAAGTTGATGGAATGCAGCTACAGACGGGAGGGGTAGCCACATAATATGAGAGACGGGTAAGCGTGAAATTGACTACCGGAGAGAGATTCTATCTAGGCTATGGACTACGGTGAGACGGCAGTATCACATACCATCTGAACACAAGCCAGCATGACCAGGCCCTTAGGTAGCCGAGCACAAATGGTCACAGATACTTGATATTCCATACCAACGCGTCGATTGTCGAGCTGGGCACGACCCGAAGACAGCATATAACCGCATCACGCCTATCAACAACCACCTACAGCTCAAGCCACAGCCCTACAGACACACGACATACACTGCACACCCGGCATATCCCGCATCTCAGTGTGCCGTGTGGCTATGCCCACCTTGGCGCTTGGCTCGAACATCGCTGCCAAGACCTAGGTGGGAACGACTCATGTACTGTGGGGAAGAAACGTGTGGTCTTGGCTCGAGTTATGACCTGTAGTTGCGACGGATGTTTGAAAGTAGCCTGATCTCTGCGAATGCCGAGTCTCAGAGTTAATGTCGGTGCCTAGTTGCTGGATTCGGTTGAGCGGTAAGGAAGTGGAGAGGTGAATGGATTGTACGGTAGATACTAGACACTGTCTACTAGACAGTGGACACTACTAGAGAGTGGACACTACTAGCGAGTGGACACTACTAGAGAGTGATGTGGACTCTGCCTAAGATGTGTTAAGATGGAGCGGTGAGATGCTATTGAAAGATCAGGTAGTTTCATGAGTGTGAAGTCATGTGGTCAGGGCTGGTGATTCCGCACCCATGGTGACAAGATGTATGCATACTGCATATTCATACTACGGTAGTTGATTACTTCATGTTGGTCTCAAAAACATCCGATGTAGAAATGGATGGTAATCGATCAATAAGACGCTAGACTGGGTTCCAAAAACAGCGCATTTTTCGAGAACACTACTGACTCAGTAATGTGTCATGCCGATCTAGGCTGAAGTATAATGTCAATGTCCAACTATGTACCTGTGCAGTAGTAGGATCCTACCTACCTAGCACCAACTTACCTGGTCTCCTAGATCACGGACCGGATTGGTCATAGAATGCTGCATAATTCACTCCTCGGTCGGACTGCATCTTTCACGACTCATTAGACGAGTATTAGCATACTAGTGGATCTACTGCCGTACACATACTGCCAAGGGCTTAGCCCAAATTGCAGACTCATAGGGCTGTGCCACAACACGCAGCCAAGGATATCAATCCTCCAGAACTACTGGCTAGTAGCTACTAGCTACTAGCTAGTACTTAGTAATTAGTAGCCACCGACTACTGCTCAATGTGACGTACAGTGAGTGACTCACGACTACTACACGGCACACGCATCGGACTTCTCCCCCAATAATCGGGCCTCTGCGCTGTGCCGCGGGGACCAAGACCAGACGTTTCTCTCTTACTTGACTCTCACCCTAATACTGGTCGACTACCGGGTTTCTGAGTCATGGGTATCACTGTTGTATTCGTGATAGTTTGTCCCAACTCAATGAGTTAATGGAGCCTGGAGGGCTCTGCCCGTGCTCGGTCTCACTGCCGATCTCGCACTGGCACTGGCATTCGCCTGCAAAAGTGCGGGGTGCATGGTGCAGGTGGAGAGCACGGTAGTACGGTACATACGGAGGGATGAATTCCGAGTCTGCGCTCTGCAGGATTCAAGGCAAGTCAGTCATGCATGCATGCATGCATGCATGTGCCATGTATACAGAGAGGTACTGATCTGCGCGTCAGGTATTGGCTGGGACATGGCATGATGGCACTGAACAGGTGAACACTGACCGCTGGCTCAGTGGCTAGCAGCTACTCATCGCGGGACGTATGGTAGATATCTCAAAAAGTGGCACATCAGTAGGTGCCTTGTCGGATATGACAAATGGCGAATCGACCTACTGCACGTACTATACGTCGAGCATTGTCACACCAGTAATCTTCCGAACAGAGTAGCATGTTCGGGTCAATTGAATTCATTCCATTCGTTTATAAACATGGACCTAGCAATAAGACAGCATCACTGTCATCAAAGCAGCAGGACCACAAGTTCCAGCCAGGTGCCGACTGACCACCAAACTCCTACCACCCCAAAAAAGGAAAAACCTTCACCGTCCGTAAACGCCTGGCAACACGACCCAGCAAGCCCGCCTGTATACAGTATGAACCCAAAACTTGCTCCACTGATACCCCACTATGAAGCAGGCACACAACAGGTGCTATTTCCACCGGTGTATCACCAAGGAGCAAGTTGACAATGTGGGGACATTGTGAAAAGAGAAGCAAGAAGCAAAAGGATAGAGAAAGAAAAAGGCATGAGTCTTCGTTGTATTGGCGTGAGAATTCCATAGCAAAGCTCCAACCAAGCCCCCTAGTAAACCAAAGAAGAAGCAAAAGAGAATCCTAGAAGTAACAAACTGGAACGGGCACGGGGGACAAGACATGCCAAGTTCTGAGCGCAGACAGAGGAACAAACAGGCACTTCGCTTGTAACATGAACAAGGGCACCAGAAACAAATGAGAAGTGGAATCGCAAAACCGCGAGGCAGGGGAGTGACCGAGCCAGAAGAACGCGACCAAGAGGAAACCATTCCGGAATTGGGGATGAGGGGGGGAGGGGAGACAACTCATATCCAGACGATTCAAAAGGAGGAGTTCACGTACGTCGATCATGTCATCATTAAAATAAGGAGGAAAGAGTGGAGCAAGGCGAAGCGAAGGGAAAGGACACAGTGAGAATTGCGAGCAACTTCATCACGCTTGATGGGGGTATGGATCGCGCGAGGGAAACAACCAAGATGAAACAAATGAGGAACGACCAAAGCGCCTCGATGAGGTTTCTAAAGTCCGAGATCACCTGTCCGCAGAGGCAACTCTGACCACCAAAGCAACCATTGAATCAATTCACCGACTCTCATCCCTTCAATCCTGGCCCCCAAAAAACCTTTGCTTTTTCTTTCATTTTGTCGTTTCAAAAGCCTTCTTCGCCGGCTTTGCACAGCTTAATTTGGCGAACCCACTCGGACTTGAGGACCTGTGAAGCGTTGATACGGCGGGATGGATTGGGATCCAAGATGGAGTAGATGACATTCCGGCATCGGGCCTGAGAGAAGTAGGATGTGTTAGTATAATGGTCCCTCTGAGACAGTCTGTCAGGGTCACCGTGGCACTCACTCGATGTAATGTCTCGATCGGTGCGTATCCATCTTCGTGCTTTCGTCCTTCCAGGTAACGCTGGTAGAACTCATCCTCGTCTCTGTTCGCCACACGCCACAAGTGTCGGCCTGTTCTCATGGCCATATAAATCACACCGGTGGCCCAGAGATCGACGGCACGGGGATCAAATTCTTTCTCAATGTACTCTTCCGGCGCGATATAAGGGGCAGATCCACAGAGACCCGCAGTCATATGGGCTTCTTTCTCCCATGCCATCCGGAAACACTCGCCATTACCGAAATCAGTGATCTTCAAGGCGCCGTGCGTAGTAAGCAGCAGGTTCTCGGGCTTAAGGTCGCGGTGCGCGACACCCATCTCGTGCATATACTCAACACCACGCATCAACTGCTTGAAGAAACAATCCGCTTCGGCCACTTCAAGCTTTCCGGCTGCCAAAATCAGGGTATACAGGTCCCCGCCCGCGCAGTACTCCATGACTTCACAATAATCACCCTTGGCGTCCTGCAGCAAGTCCAGGGTGTGAATGACGTTAGGATGGCGGAGGGACGACGAGATGCAGAACTCGGAGGTGAGACGCTTCTGGTATCTCTTGGCAGTCTCCTGTGGTCGGCGGCGGAACTCCTTGACGGCATAAAGCTGTTCGCATTTCGAGTCCGTGGGGTCGACCTTGTGAGAAATTCGGACGATACCGAAAGCTCCGCGACCAACGACCTCCTGACACTTGCCGTACTTGTCGACCAGGGACGCGGTCGCATTAGGGCCGCACTTCTTGTCGGACGCCAGCTTATCGCGCTCGCTCTTGAACTGATCAATCCAGGTCGACATCAACGACAATTGCTGCTCGTCAGCGTGCTCCTCGCCCTTCTTCCTGCCTCCGCCAAGCATATCTTTCAACAGGTCGGTGAGTTTTTCTTGTCGACGAGCGCTCCGGAGATGGTGAGCATGGGATCCACTTTCCTCAGGAAGCGTCTCGAAGCGTTTGTGTGGCTGAGCGCCATCTTTCTGCTCCTTAGTGCTAGATGGTTTCTTTTTTTGTCCATCAATTGGCTCGTTCTTGAGAGAAGGCTGACGGGAGGGGGCGCGAGATGATGGTTGAGAATTCGTACGGGACGCGGGCTTGGAGGTTGGTCTATCTTTGTTCTGGGCCTGCACGCTCTCGGTGCTGCTGTCGGACAGATCGCGATTGGGATCATGATCCCTGTTCATGGCATGCTTGCCGGAGCTCGAGAACATTCGAGACAGACGCGAGGCCATACCTCCTCTGGAGGTAGAAGTGGGAGCTTTACCACTGGGAGTGGACGTGTGGACCGATGGGGCCGGCGAGGCCGGCGCGGCCGAAGGAGGTTGCATATCCCCGTTCGGTGGGGACAGGTTCATACCCGCCAGGGCTCGGGTTACCGAAGGATCTGCATCTCGAGAATCTACTGAATGTTGAGATGTTGCGGCGGAGGAGACTGCGGACGGAGCAGGAGAAGCAGAAAGCAGAGTCATGTGCGGTGACTCTTTGGGGGGGGGGGGGAGGGAGGAGAGGAGAAAGAAGAGTAGAGAAGAGGGGAAGAGGAGGACTGTGAGGATCTCACAGAAAACCACCCCTTAAGAGGAATGTAGAAGAGAAGATGAAGAAAGAAAAACGAGCTACGCCCGCACGAAGCAAGAAGCTGCCGAAATGCAACCAGGGTCGCTCGTGAGAACTCGCTGCTTTCTTGCAAGAAAGAAAAGCGAGATGAGGTGAGGTCCGCGGGAAAAAACGGTGGTGGGAGGTTCGGCAGTTGTGGCCTGAGGCACCCAAAACGTGTATCAGTGACGAAACCGACGTTGCGGGTAAGCAGGCTCGTCTCGCCGGGTCAAAATGGACGCTAAAAGGGCGAGACACGAATGGATTCTTACACAGGTTGAGCGTTTGTACAAGTGATGAGACAATGAAAAGCAGAGAGCAGCACCCAAGGTTGTCGAAAGGAGTTATAATTCTAAATCAGAAGACAGCCAGAAGGGAGGGAAAAGAAGAAGAGGCCGGAGAAATGGGGGCAGATGGTCGAGCAGATGAATAAAAACTGGCGATACTGCACTTCCGAAGGTGTCAACGGAACAAGCAGGGGAGACCTTCAACGTGAAACCAATTTACCGCGGGTCAAAGGACGTAAGACGGTAGTAAGATCTCAGAACCATTTCCTCTGCCTACTTACATCGAGGCAAACCGTGTAATTTTGGAGGAGGAGGAGGGGGAGGGCGTCCGAGGTTGATTTGGGTAATTCTTTTTTTTTATTCTGATTTTTAATGTAATATTTAATTTGACCCTTTTTTTTCACTGGTTCCCACCATCAGAAATGAATTATTAAGGCTGAGGAAAGCAGGTGCGGCCACGATTCGAATGTGCTAGTACCGGGCAGGGCTTGGGGAAGAGACTAAAGGTAGAAAGTACCTCTAGAACTGATGCCTGAGCCCCTCTAATATGTGGGGAGGCTGCGTCCGCGGGAGAGATGGGTCTCCTTCCAAGGAAGTACCCGATACCTCCAGAGAGACAGATCGGGGGGAGAGATCGAGGGGTGGTGCTGCTCTGGTCTCCTTAGCCAAACGGGCCCCCCGAGTCCCAAAAGATTCCCATGGTCACCGGGCCAAGCAGGCAGTAATCGTGGGCTCTCAATGACCGCCGGACCAGTAACGAGTCCTGCGTATGTTGGACGTATTCGGTAATTTAACTTACCAGAATACTCGAGCGGTACCGGATCTGGCGTGGGTGCTGAGTAATTGCCAGCGTTACAGCGACCGTCGAGCAGCGCCGTGGATCTCGTCCCATTCCCGGTGATGGTGAATTTAGTCTCGAATGTGAGAGGATACTAGTACTCTAGTGACTATACTGTACTACTGTGACATTACTAATGATCATCATCTTGCTAGCCCTCTCGTTCATCTCACGCTCCTATCTGATCTAATCCCGTCTCACAGCCTCCTTACTTACGATGACTTAATCTCAACCGATTGAAGCCTACTGAATTGCCACCACCCTCGGATCATTCGATGACATGTTCGTCGGGCGGCAGTCAATCAGCCACCAGATCCGTAAGATACATGAGCAGTTGCCGATCTATGTCTTTATGACTGAAATGTGCACCCGAGGTGTATGTCAGTCTGATATATCGTGAACCGTCATTTGCAGGGATCACATTCGAACTAGTAGAGAACTAGAGATGGATGCTGTACTGGACTACTTGTGTCTAGCTTTGCCGAGTAGCGCCCGTTCAGTTCTGTCAATGGCTCCATTTCCTTCCCAAGGGAACTCGCCAACAAATGGATATCTATCTGAGAGCTTTACAAAAGCCCGTGGTGGAGGAAGAACATGAGCAAGTTGGAAACTCATCGTGTACAGCACTTGAAGTAACTAAAGTTATGAGCTGGTGCGAATCAGTGAGTCGGAAGCCAGTCATCTGTGGCGGATAGTAGGGTGTTTGATTATGGGCTCGTATATTATCAACGATTCAACAGTAATGGTGAGTAAGGGGGTCACGGTGAAAACTCATGATGTAGTACCAGTACCACGCCTATTTAGGTTGAGGTCTCCCTCTTGGGGCTACATAACTAAAGGTGTGTTTGTTGCCATACTGTAGGGCGAGACTGGGGGAGCAAACCACTTTGAAGTTTGTACGAACAATACATCAGGACTTGATCCTTGCGTCACAGTGCCTGCAGCTTCTAAAGTGCGTGATTAAATGGTCCCATAGAAAGCGAATGCGTAATCAGTAGGATTTTCCTTTGCTTCTGAATCTCCTCATCTTTCCCCTCTTTCTGCACGCTTGCCGACACTCTAGTTCTCGGTAGGGTAGTATATCAAATCATCGACTCACAAGATAAGTGGCATTCCTTGGCCGTGATTTGACACCACTTGAAACGGGCATGCACTATGCACTATGCATCGAGCTCGTCTGCTTTCAAATGTTGTTTTTCTATGATCGAATTCTCCAGCACCTTGCTTCTTCAGGATCCCACCGCGGATGGATTCTTTCTGTAACGGCCTCTCCAATATGGTTCTCAATTTCTCTCGTGAGAGTCATGACTATGAGTGCTGGCAATCCCGGTACTCCGATCGCTTTCCGTGTCCACTTCTACAACCTGCAAGTCACCACCCCGCTCACTATTCTTGTAGACACATTTGTACTACTGCAAGTACATCGACGCTTTTGACCCATGATCAGCGACTCCAGCTCTCTTCTGGTGGCGCTCTATCTAGCGGGCGGTAGCACCCTAAAGGGCTAAGAAGCAATTGCGCTGTGCGTTACTCACCAAGTTGCCGGTCCCCAAGGTACGGTACCTTTCTCCTCATGAAATGACAGGCCCGATCGTCCTGTGCTTGCTCCCACGACTGTCCTACTAGCAGTACCTTAGTAGTGGCCACTGGCCACTGGCCAGAGTAACATTTCCTGCATCCTGGTTCACATCAAAGTGAGCTTTCTCGGGACCCTTCGGACCACCCCCCCCCCCCCCCCCCCCCCCACCAGAACACAGATCAAGATCAATGACAACATGCTGATGTGAACTTGTGAAGTAAAAGCCTTAGTTAGTAACTACTTACTACTTAGTAAGTTGGTAGTGGTATTGGGCTGATCAAGATTCTAGCAGAGTTCGTGTTCCTGTTGTTTTAGAGGGTCTTGGACCGGCTTTCCGACGTTTTCTCTGCATGTTGCCATGTTGTACCAAGTGTCAACCGAACTCTCGAGTCGCGGTGACGTCGGTGCTCATCCTTGAAGAAGTCTCGTGGTGATAACGTCAGGGCATGCAGGTGGGGGAACTAGAACTGGAACCGCAACGGGAACATGGCTGATAAGATCTTCTTCCATCACAACTACCTAGATTTGAGTATCGAGTGGTTTTCTCCAGATGGGGTGAACTCGTTGATCAGAAGGTCACACTGTACATGATTTCACCGTCCTACTGCCTATTCCGGCCACTGCACACTCTGACAGTGAGTACTACCTAAAGTTTCTCAGAACGTACAGTGTTAGTTAGTACCTGTGGTAAATTGTAACTCCTGTCTCCGTACTAGCCTTCACACATCTATCTGAAACATGACACTAGACAGTCATAAATCTCAACTCCACAGCATCATCCCGCCACGATCCAAATGCCGCGCGCATGGTCCAACCGCGAATGAGGCTGTGCACGTCGCCAGCATTGCCATGCGAGAAATTTTGATTCGATCACGACCCCCGCAACAACACGACGAGCCAGCGCATCGGGTGCACCTTGTGGCGTCAGACAAAAGACTTGTTCTGTGCTGGTATTGTAATCCAGAGTGAAAATAAGCTATCTCAACTTTCAAGTGCTCAACGAGTCAACGCTGCTCACGTGCGCAGCCATCAATGGCCGGGAGCCAGAGTGCAAGATGTGTCATGTACCTGGCTGTCTACCTAGTACCTAGTTGTAGTTTCATGCTCGATGAGAAACATTTTCCCTCTGCGATTATCAAGCCTTGCGCCAAGTTTTGAATTATTCATCTGTAGCCCGCTTACTGATATATGGGAAACATCAGATACATTCAAGGCTGAGGTTGTATTGCGTCAGACACAGCATTCGTTGATTCAAACCATATCATAGGCGGTTTTATGTCGCTCAAGCCGCTTGAGATGTCACACAGCCCCCGGCCCCAAGCATACGCCAAGACAACGACCATAATGAACATCAATGAAACCTTGGTCAATATCGAGGCTATGAACCTGGGAAACAGATGATCTCCAAGATAAATGCATCACCCGCCAGAAAATGAACAAGCTTGATTTCTGTCGCATATGCGATGAGCGCGAGTAAAGCTTCCTTTTGACTGTTCACGATCTGGGTAATGAGTATGATGAGAGCCTTGAGAATCTTTGCGATATCCAAGTCTTGGCGTAATATTTAGGTAGATCTCGTAGCCTAAGTGTATGACTATACAGAACTTCAGATATCGGAAGGGGGGTTAGTGGAAGAAAATATAGCAAATGGTGAACAGCTCCTCCAAGTCTCGTACGGAGGTATTACTCACCAGGGATTAGTAGCTATCAGTGCCTGAAACTGGACCACTGAGTGCTACACCATTGATGAGGAGTACGGCTGCTAGGTCACATCGCATCACCTGCATACACTATGTATACACTATGTATACATTATGGATGTCGTCATTCGTCGATCTATCTGTATCTTCAAATCTTGAGATCGCGATACTATACTGCTTTAATGAATTACCCAAGTCCCTACTTACCTACCCGGTGACATACGGTATTCTCAATAGGAAAAGCTCAGTCGGTTCTTCTTCACCCCACGTTATACAGTAATCCCTCCTTTGACCTGACTACCCCAAACAGGTGATGTGCATGAGCGGCTACAGTCGCTTATTGATTTTATACTTTGCTTTGTTGTAGTGGTCGACCTGATGGGGCAAGCCCGGCTCCGCGGACACCGAATCGAACCTAGTGTGTTTTTGAATGAATGCTTTGTCCCATGTGTTTGGGAAGACCATGGAGTGA